GTATTCTTATTATTACTATTATTATAATGTAATATTATTCGTCTTCTTACTAGTAGTAGTATCATTATTATTATTCGTCTTCTTCTTATTCGTCTTATTATTATTATGAGTAGTGTCATTAGTATTATTATTCTTAATCGTATTCGTCGTATTCTGAATAGTCTTATTATTATTATTAGTATTATTCTTATTATTCGTATTATTATGTTTATTCTTCTTATTATTCTGATTAGTGGTCGTCTTCTTCTGCTTCTTCCTAGTACTCTTATTATTATTCTTATTCTTATTATTACTATCATTATTATTAGTATTATTATTATTAATATTCCTCTTCCTCTTCCTCCTCCTCCTCCTCCTCCTCCTCCTCCTCCTCCTCCTCCCCCTCTTCCTTTTACTCCTCCTCCACCTCATCCTCCTCCTCCTTTTCCGCCTCCTCCTCTTCCTCCTTTCCTCCTCCGCACTCGCCCCCGCCTCCGCCTCCCCCTCCTCCTCCTCATACTCCTCCTCTGATTATTATTTTTACTATTCGCAGTTTCTCATTAGGCGTATTATCATTATTCGCTTTATTCGAACAATGCTCATTGATACTACCATGCTTTATTATTACTACTAGTATCACTAGTAGTAGTACTCGTAGTGAAATCACTAGTTAGTATCAGTAGTACGAGCATTCGTAGTACGACTAGTGATAGTATTATGATTAGTCGTATTCATAGTAGCGTTGTTCGTGCTAGTATAAGCATTAGTATTGTTGGTAGCACTATTAGTCGTACACTTACTATCAATACGAATTGTAGTATTACCAGAATTATATTAGTATCATTAAGAATATTAGCATCAGCAAGATTACTGATATTAGTTTTTGACTGTCCTTCTCATTCGCGGTCTGATTGTTCTTAGCATTCGTACACTTATTAGTATGCGTATTCGTTTCATGTTTTTAGATTGTTAATAATATTGGTGCTACGATTCGTATTCTGATTTTCCAATGCATTTGTATAGTTATGTTTGGTATTAGGTATTGTTCTTCGTATGAGTGTTACTAGTATTATTAAGAGTCGCATTGTTATTAATGTTATTAATAGTATGTGTACAGGTTTGCCTCGTATTAAGAATATAAGTCCATTCCTCTTCATACTCTTCTTACTAGCATCCGTATTAGTATGGTTATTATCAATATGCCTAGCAGCATGGTTCTTAGTATTCTTGCTATTCTTCATAATCGTAGTATGATTATTCACGTTATAATGATTGGACCTAGTAGTTTGGTATTATTCGTAGTATTATTGGTGTTCAGATTCGTTTTCTTCTTATGTTTCGTATGTTGCTTAGTGTTAGTTTTCGCCTTCTTATCCGCATCACTATTTGTCCTAGTTCCCTATCATGATTACGAATAGTTATAGTATGAGTTGTACTGCTCCTAGCGTTCGTTTTGTTACTTATATTCGTCGTAGCATGTTTCATCATTGTTCTTAGTATTAGCGTTTATCATTCTTCATGGTGTTACTAGTATTATCATTCGTATTCGTATTAGTAGCATCGCTATTCTTATCCGCACTCTATTATTATACTTCGTCTTCTTATTATGCGCATTCGTATGCTTCTTCTTTTTATGAAAAAAAATAGTCTTCTTCTTCGTCTTTTAAATAATGTGCTGTTTCGTCCGAATCGTCTTCTTCACCTTCCTATTATTATCCTTCTCCCTCCACCTCCTCCTCCTCCTCCTCCCTCGTCCCCGTCCCCCTCCTACGCCTCCTGCGTTTCCTCCTCCTCCTCCTCCTCCTCCTCCTCCTCCTTTTCCTCCTCCTCATTTTCCTCCTCTCCCTCCTCCTCATGTTCCTCCTCCTCATCATCCTGCTCCTTTTCCTCCTCCCCCTCCTCGTCCTACCCCCCAAAAGGCCCCAGGCATCACCAGCACCGGCAGCACCAGTTGCTCCAAGATGGCTCCAAGAGGACAACAGAGCACCACAAGCAGCAACACCAGCAGCATCACCACCACCGCCACCACCACCACCACCATCACCAGCACCAGCAGCCGCACGCGCGTGTAAGATAAATTTCAGTGCGGGGGCCGAGATCAAGAACGCATATGGTGACGCGACTCGCAATTGTGCGACAAGGGCGGACGACTGATAGATAGAGCCACCTGCGAAAGAGACGTTACCATAGGGAACACCCCGGCGCACATCGCACAGGTTTCCGTATGAAACGTCGTTGCGGGAAGCTATGCGTGATCCACTATTGTCTCTCATGGCCCAGGGTGGATACAGCCACCTGCGCTAGAGACGCTTACCACGGGGAGCGCAACGTCGTAACTTGCACTGGTTTCCATCTTGAACTTCAATGCGGAAAGCTACATGTGATCCGTGTTGTCTGAAGACGGCCGCGCAACTGCACGCTTCAAGCCGCCCCTGATTCACCGACTCCCTTGCTGATCGTTTCTGGATGGGCTGGCGGGGATATTTTTTGGTACGCGGGCGCGCGGAACGGGTCGAACGCCAGGCTAGCAGGGGCAGGCTATGTCACCGGCTGCGGAAAACAAGCAACGAGCAACGCTAAGTGCGGGGCGGAACTCAGGCGGCCAAGATGGCGCGAAGGTGAAGTAGGGCACCAAAAACGTGAGGAAGGTGCCGAGGGGGAAGGCGGCGTACACGATGGCGGCGAAGGATGATCCGAGCACCACACTAGCACAGGAAGGCGGTGACGAAAGTGGGAAATCGGTCCCCCAGGCAAAGTTGCCGAACACGTAGTCCTTGCACAAGAATAGCATGAAAATGCCGAGAGGAAAACGACCACCAGGCCCCGCATGGGCGATGACCACCAGGGAAGACACCACGACCACCATGCAGCTGCCACACCAGGGCCTCCCCCAGGGAGTGCACCCGACGGAAAGGGCTGCTGCGGATACGTGAAGAGTCAAGAATGATAGCAACAACAACAACAACAACAACACGAATGATCATTAAGATAAAAATAGCAGTAAGAATTCAAATATTTCAAATAAAGTGAACGGTATCAATAAAATCATCATCATCATCATCATCATCATCATCATCATCATCATCATCATCATCGCCATCCGTCATCAGCATAATCATCAGAATCGTCGTCGGCATCGTCATCAGCATCACCATCACTGTCACCAAACCAAAGGTAACAATGATAATAGTGAGAATAATGACAACCGAGATCATAGTGGTAGAAGGAATAGTTCAAACAGATATAGCGAAAGGAAAACTAATACTCATAATCATTACCAGACATAAAAAATACTAATGAAAATACTCATACTGATGATGATGACATTGGAGATGACCGTGCTGAAGATAATGAGGATGAGCATGGCTGGTATTGGTGCTGCTGATGTTTCGCTTATGCTGTTGCTGATGATGATGATGATGATAATGATGATGACAACCCTGATGATGATGATGTTGACGCTGGTGAGCGATGGATAATGGCGATGGTGATGGCAATGGTGAGAGTGCTGATGATGAAGCTGATGATGATGATGGTGATGATGGCGATGATGATGATGATGCTGATGGTGATGATGTTGGTGAAGACGATACAAGAAAGGTACTGTCGATGGTAAGTGCGATGGTCGTAGAGATGCGAATAAGAATGATGAAGATGGTGATGACGATGACGACGAAGATAGTGAAGAAGATAATAACAATGATTATGATGATGATGGCTCCGAACGGACGCTGATGACAATGGTGGTAATGACAATGAAGTAGAGAAGAGTATGATCAGGATGCTGATGATGATTGTGGTATTGCAGATGACAATGTAGGTTCAGATGCAGGTGAAGATGAGGATGAGTATGATGATGGTGATAATGGTGAAATGGAAATGGTGATTATGACGAAGAGGATAGAGCTGATGGTGATGGCAAGTGCGATGATAGCGATGTGTATGATGCTGATCCTGACACTGACGCTGACGCTGACGTTGATGAGGATGGCGGCGATGGTGATGTGATGATGATGATGGTAATGATGGTGATGATGATTATGGTGGTAATGATGATGGTAGTGATGACAATAACAATATTAGTAAAAAAACGTATGACTGATGATAATGATGACGCTGACGATGACGGTGATGGTGATACGGTGGTAATGATGATGCGTAGCATCATGATAATGATGCTGATGATGATGACGATGGTCATGCAAATGATGATGAGTATGATAACGATAGTGATGATGAGGATGATGATGATGATGGCCATATTGATGATGATAATGAAATAATGATTGTGATGATAATGATGATGATGGTGGTGGTGATGGTGATTATGTTGATAATGATGATGATGATGATGATGATGATGATGATGATGATGATGATGATGATGATGATGGTGATGGTGATGGTGATGGTGATGGTGATGGTGATGATGGTGATGATGGTGATGATGGTGATGACGACGATGACAATGATGATGACGATGATGATTGACGCAGGTAGGCAGGTAGGTAGGTATCCTGCAGTAGAGGATTGCATGTTGCGGCCACGGGAAACAGGCCCAGGGGAGAGAGGGGAGGGAGGAACAGAGAGGAGGGATCAGGGAGGAGGAGAGGGTGAGAAGACTGCACATCACCAACGTCGCCGTTGACATCACCACAACTACCATGACCCCCTATCGTCGTCTCCAATATCAGCATCAACATAACAGCATCATTATGATCAGCACTGTAGTCATGCATCGTCATCACCATGATCACCACGAGCATCATCACCACCACAATCATCAAAATCACAATCACCATCATCAGAATCGTCGCCATCACCATCATCACCACCACCATCATCATCATCATCATCGTCATCACCATCATCATCATCGTCATCGTCATCACCATCATCATCATCAGCATCATCATTACAGTCAGTACCAACATCACCATCACCAACAAGACCATCACAGTGATGGCCTTAATCACTTGCCATCACCACCATCATCACCACTGCCATCACCAAGATAGCGCCTCGAGAGCACGCCGTGCCGCCGCAGCATGGACACCGCCACGTTCGCGTGGTGGCTCTCGAGGGGGCCTGACGCTCAGCGAGGCCCGGCAAGGCAGGAGGGGAAGAGGAGATCTGGGCCTCGTCCTCCTCAACTTCCTCCTCCTCCTCCGCCTCCTCCTCCTCCTCCTCTTCCTCCTCCTCCTCCTCCTCCTCCTCCTCCTCCTCCTCCTCCTCCTCCTCCTCCTCCTCCTCCTCCTCCCCCTCTTCCAGCGGCATTGGAGGTCTGGGCTTCCCCCCCCCTCTCTCCCCGCCGCCCCTTCCTTCCCACATAGGAGGTCTAGGCATCCTTCGAAAAAGGTCGTTGGCAGTTATAGACCCTGTTGGGGCCGGAGGCCTCCCGAAACCTCGACAGACCTCAGGGGCCTCTCGGGGATACACAAACCTCGAGCACTTCGAACGGACCGCGCCAGCTGAGCATCTGGGGCCACCTCTGGCCCCGGGAGGCCCCAGGCAATAGCGAGGGCTACAGTGGCCGTCAACTCGACAAAGTCGAGTCATCGAGATCGAGGTACCAGGAGCCTGAACGGGAGGAGACCTGCCATCTGGGCGTCACGACTGAAACTGTGGCAGGCGTCATCGCCCCATCTCGGAGCTCAGGACCCTGATGAGTCCATCTGGTCAGCCACAAGTCACACTTAAAGATGGGGTCGAGACTTGGCAATGAAGAATGATGACCCCTTGCAGATCGAAGTCCGCCGGCCCCCTTGCGGGGCCATCAGGCTGCGAGGCTGAGGCTTGCTGCTCCCTGCACTAAATCAGGGCTATAGGGCTAGGGGGCTATAGGGCTATAGGGCTATAGGGCTAAAGGGCTATTGAGCTATAGGGCTATAGAGCTATAGGGCATAGAGTTGTAGGGCTATAGGGCTATTGGGCTCTTGGGCTATAGAGCTATAGGGCTATGGGGCTTAGGGCTGTAGGGCTATAGGGCACCCCCCGGCACCCCTGGGCACCCCCGGGCACGCCCGGGCACCCGGGCACCCGGGCACCCGGGCATCCCCGGGCACCCCCCGGGCACCTGGGCCCCGGGCACCCCCGGGCACCCAGGCACCCGGGCGTGCAGCGAAAATCGGCGGCAAACCTAACCAAACCATATGAATCCGCTAGGACCCCTACAGAGGCAAGCTCTAATTGGGGGATCATCATCATCATCATCATCATCATCATCATCATCATCATCATCATCATCATCATCATCATCAGCATCATCATCATCATCATCATCAGCATCATCATCATCAGCATCAGCATCAGCATCAGCATCATCATCATCAGCATCATCATCAGCTTCACCATCAGCATCATCGTCATCGTCATCACCATCACCACCGTCATCGTCATCATCATCATCACCACCACCATCATCATCATCATCAGCATCAGCAGCATCATCATAACCGTCATCATCATCATCATCAGCATCATCATCAGCATCATCAGCATCAGCATCAGCATCAGCATCATCATCATCATCATCATCATCATCATCATCATCATCATCATCATCATCATCATCATCATCATCATAATCATCATTATTATTGTTATTATAATTATTATCAGCAGTGCTCATCATCAGCAGCCGCCGCGCTTCCTTGCAGCGGCCTCCCCCATGGCCGCTCGGGCGGCGGGGGGGGGGGGCGTCACTGGCAGCGGCGCGCCGCCGGCAAGGGAGGGCGCAGCGGGGCCCGCGCCTGCGGCCCCACCCTGCGACCGTGCTGGCTGGGCGGGCTCGCCACCGCCATCGGCGCGGCGGCGCTTGGCCTGCAGGCGGGCGCGCATGGCTTCGCCTTGATCGCCTCCGCGCTGGAGCCGAAGAACTCCTTGACCCTGTCCTTCAGCTCCTGCGCGGAGGCGGCCTTGAATCCTCCCACTGCGTCCGGCCCGCAGCGTCCAGCTCGAGGACGTCCGTGGAGAACTCGTCGCCTGCGTCTAAAAGATTTGATCTGGTCGGGGCCATTGACCAGCAGCTTGCTGAGGTTGACAGCGCGCGACCGTGGAGAAGCTGCTGCATGCTCCTGGGCACCCCGCTCCGGGCCGACGATGGCGGGCGCAGCGCTGACCTCGGCCCGCGCCGCCTCCAGCGCGTGCGCGCACTCGGTGGCGCGAGCACCCCTCCTCCTCCTCCTCCTCCTCCTCCTCCTCCTCCCTCAGCCTCCTCCTCCTCCTCCTCCTCCTCCTCCTCCTCCTCCTCCTCCTCCTCCTCCTCCTCCTCCTCCTCCTCCTGCTCCTCCTCCAGCCAGTCCGTCGCACTGTGTTCCGACGTGGCCGCGCGCTCCGGTGCCTGGACGGCGCGGCGCTCCACCGCGACCAGGCGCTGGTACTCGGCGTCGAAAGCTCTCCACCTACTCCTTGGGTGGTGGCAGCCCCTGTCTCTTGAAGCTGTCGAGCGCCGCGAGCTGGTCCGCAGGCACGTGGCCCTCGAGGGCGGCGAGCACGGAGGACAGTGTGCGGGGTCGGTGGGCGGGGGGCCTCTCGCTTCTCTCCCCCTGAAGCCCATCCACGGCCCTTCTTGCGGCCCCAGGTGCCCATGGTGTCCAACGTGTCGTAACCGTTGCCCCACGTTCCCCGCGGCTGCCGCCATGGGGCGAGGGGGATCTCCAGCGTCGCCGAGCACTGGTAGTAGCCTTTCCAGTTCCACCTTGTAGGCGCATGACGCGCACTTGTGGAAGCCATGCTCCTGCAGGAACTCAAAAAAGAAGCGGGCGGACCACTCAGCACTCACCCTGGGGCGAACCAGAGGACAACTTGGGGACTGGCCTCGGATCAGAGGTATCCACAAGCTCCGCCAAGGAGCAAGACATCTTGAGGCAAAACGGACACGGGAAGGGATGGAGGAGGAGGAGGAGGAGGAGGCGGAGGAGGAGGAGGAGGAGGCGGAGGAGGACGAGGAGGGAGCAGGGCCTGGGGAGCTGGGCAAGAGGAGGGAGGGGCCCTCCAGAGGCTGGCGGCCAGCAGTGGCCCCAGGGGCGCGGCGGCGCGCCGACGTCGCCGGTCATCTCGCTCAGGTAGTTGTGGCCCTGGGCGCCGGCACGGCGTCGGTGCAGCGGCTACGGGGCCGACGACGTCGCCGAAGACGGAGGCGGCAGCGGCCCTGCGCCGACGGCGGCGACGGCGGCGACGGCGACGGCGGCGATGGCGGCGATGGCGCCCGACTGCGGCGGCGACGGCAGCAGCGGACGGGGGGCGCTGACCCTGAACTCGAAGATCGAACTTCAAGGGGTTCGATGTCTTTGGGCGTCTTCGGCCCTTTGGGGGGGCCTCCAGAAAGCTCCTCGTGGCCACGGCTGGATCCGCCTCGAACCCTGGCCAGAATACATCCCAAGATGGGTCTGCACATCGAGGCTTGATCCCCGATCCCAGACCACCACGGCGTCACGACGACAGGTTCTGGGCAATTTTCGGCCCCACTGGCCCCTTACAATCAAAACTAAAAACAAAAACGCACGATAAGGATGCATGCCCCTGGGACGCCCGTACTACAGTTTTTTCGAGCGCGGCGGGCCATCGAAAGGGGCTGAGGATGGACGAAAGGGGCACGGCTGCAGGGGCACCCTTGGGAAAGCTACCCGTTTTTACTGGCAGTGTCGACTGTATCGTGGCCCAGGATCGGCTACACGCAATGAGTGGCCCTGGGTAAGAATGACCTGTGGTGCGCGGTTTCTGGGAACCGCGGGGGGGACCTAAACGGGACCAGGCACAAGCGCGCAAGACGCTACAGCAACAACAACAACAACAACAACAACAACAACAACAACAACAACAATCATTTAAGACTGGGGACACTCCGTTCTCACCAGTGCCAGGGTTTTCATAGGAGGCGGGCAATACCCCCACTTTGTGGGGGGGCCGGTTCAAGCTCTACCAAATTTCCATACGACTCTTCGCCACCACCCACACCCAGCTTCCCTCCCTATGACGTTCGGACACTTCACTTCGTGGCATGCGGACGACCGTGGCTACTATTCAGGGCCCCGCGGCCGACGACGACGGCGTGCGCGCGCGAAGAAAAACGAATTTGTCCCGCATGGTATTATTTGACAGGGATGATGGCCCTGGCAGGTGCGCAACCGTTGTTGCAGAAGTTCGAAAAAGTTGTTCGCAAAAGCCCGTTTGACAGAAATGTTTAAAAAAGTGTTGGGTTTCCTACGAATCCGCAAGAGCGCGCGGGATGAAATTTTGACATTTTTTTTTGAAAAACCATTGGTTTTTTTTATGTTTTTATGTTAAAATCGCTACGAAAACTAAGGTTTTGGAAGGATTTCGTCTTGCGCGCGCGAATGTCCACTTTACCTTATTTTTTGCAAGGGATTCGTGAAGTTTGGATATGTTAAAACAAGAAATGTCCACTTTAGCTTATTTCTTGCAAGGGAAAACCGATCGTAACAACACAACCGGATCTGGATGACATCGTTTTACCTGAGACTTCCTCACGAAAATGATGAAAATGAGGCTGCGGCCTAGGCGCGGCGGGGGGGCCATGCACCAGGGGCCCCAACAATAGATATTCTCTGTTAGAACGTGTAATTACGTTCAACACCAACACCAACAACAACAATCACTTTACCCGAACGCTCAGTGTTCTCACCAGTGCCAGGGTTTTCATGCGACGCCAGCCAATACCCCCACTTTGTGGGGGGGCAGTGCAAGCTCTACCAAATATCCACACGACTCTTCGCCACCACCCACACCCAGCTTCCCGCCCAATGACGTTCGGACACTTCACTTCGTGGCCTGCGGACGACCGTGGCTACTACACTGGCGTGGAGTACACACCCACAGAAGTTGTTAGGACAGCGCGCGCGGGTGGAAATTTTGAAAAGTCGTGCAGGTGTTTTTCGAGGACCTACGGTGCGATTCGTGTGATTTTATGATGCGCGGTGCTAAAATTCTTAAAAACCCAATGGTTTTTGGAGATTTCGGCGTGCAACAACAACAACAACAGCAACAGCAACAGCAACAGCAACAGCAACAGTAACAGCAGCAACAACACACCACCACCACCACCACCACCACCACCACCACCACCAACAACAACAACAACAACAACGACCAACAGTTCGAGGCGAGTCCGGCGCCGGCGGCGCCTCCGAGCAGGCCCACGAACGGCGAAAGCGAGGGAAGGGCAGCGGTGTGGGTGGAATCCTCCTCCTCCTCCTCCTCCTCCTCCTCCTCCTCCTCCTCCTCCTCCTCCATCCCCCTCCTCCTCCCCCCTCCCCTCCCCTCCCCTCCCCTCCCCTCCCCTCCCCTCCCCTGCCCCCCTCTCCCCAGGGCCGATCGGGTCGGATTCAGGACGGGCCTCTTGGAGGCACGCGCGCCCACCGCAGGCTCTGGTCTCGAAAAGAGGGCGCGGCGCGCGCCGCGGGGCGCCTGCCTCCGCCAGAAAGGCACCCTGCCGAGGCGTGCCCGGCGCGGAGCGTCCTCCGCGCCGGGCGCGGAGCGTCCACCGGAAGGGCATCCTGCCAGAGGCGCGGAGCTCGACGACCTCCTTCGGAACGTCCTCCGCGCGTGGCTCGTCGCGCTGCCGGCTGGTGTGCATTGGCTCGTCTTCCTCCTTCCGCCCCTCCTCCCGCTCCGCCTCCGCCTCCGCCTTCGCCTCCTCCTCCTCCTCCTCCTCCTCCTCCTCCTCCTCCTCCTCCCCTTCCTCCTCTCCTCCTTCCTCCTCCTCCTCCTCCTCCTCCTCCTCCTCCTCGTGTGCTTCCTGCTGCTCCTCCTCGCATTCTCCTCCTCCGTTCGCTACGTTCTTCGCCTCCTCGTATTCGCCCTCCCCGTGTGTTTCTCCTCCGTTCTGGTGTTTCACTCCTCCTCTTACTCGCTCCTCCCCCTCCTTCTCCTCCTTCTCCTCCTCCGCCTCCTCCTCCTCCTCTTCCTCCTCCTGCTCATGTTCCCCTCCTCCTCATGTTCTTCCTCCTCCACCTCGCCATCAATGCGACACCTCGTCCTCCTCGTCCTGATCTCTCTCTTCTCGATCGTTTACTCCCTCCGATGTTCTCCTCTTCCACCATCCCCGAACTCCGTCTCCGACTGATCACGCTTATCATGTTCTCCATCGCCATTGCTCCTCCCCCTCTTCTCCCCCATCGTCCTCCATCTTCTTCACAATCCTCCTCCCTCCTCCTGCCCTCCCTAGTCCCCCTCCTCTTCCTCCTACTTCTCCTCCTCCGCCTTTTCCTCCTCCACCTCCTATTCCTCCTCCCTGGCAGCCTACCAGCCACACCCTCTTCCTCGCCCCACATCTTCTCCGATCCTCCTAACGAGAACTCCCGAAGGACCCACCAGGATGCCATGACCCTTTGAAATCATTATAAGCTCCATGGATGCTCTTCGAAGCCTCCTCCGCAGTCTCCCCCCACCTTTCCTCCAGCCTCCTGTGCATCCCCATGCAGCCAAACATCCCTGTTCTATGCCCCCTCTCCACTCTCAGCCTGAAACTCCGTATCGCGCGCTGCCACGCCCTACTCAGACTAACCCAGACCTCCATCTCCACGCACCACACGTTTTTTTCACAAGTATGTCCCTCCTCCGCCTTATTCTGATTACCGTGCCTCGTCTTGTATCCCACTGCCCCTTCATCAGTATCCGCCTTCGATGTCGCCCACACCCTCCTGTCCATACAAATGTATGAACCCTGACTGCCCAAGTCGACCACCCCTAGAAGAAAGACTCCCCCCATGCCCGCCACAGCGCTTGCAGCTGTTGAGCCTGTCGGGTCCCTGCTGATTGCTGAATTGTCGCGTCTTGCGAAGCAATATAGTGGGGGTCGATCCAGAAGGAACCCACCGCAAGAAACCTAACCCTGAAATCCACCGAGGTTTCTTGGTCCAGGATATGGTTTATTGCACTTCGGCTGCAAACGAAGAAACCCGGGGCACCCTGGCCCGAGCGGTCTCTTGACTGATGGCGTCAAGACATTTTACATCAAGAAACCCAAGGTGATCGAAAATGCGAGCTGCGGGCCTTGCACAAACAGAAAGGCCACTACTTCTCCTCTGGGGAATAAGAAACTGTGCGCCCACTAGACTCAGGCCAAAGTTGCAGACCAACGCGCGTGGATCGGCAACGCGGGGCGAACAATCCGAGTGACGGGCGAAAAAACCCAGGGTACCCCGAATGCCCGGAAGTGTCTTGGAGGTCCGGGCGGACGCCCCGAAACTGAACGACGCCCAAGAAATCCAGGGTGCCCTGGCATTCGCAATCTCTTCGAGATTACGGCGACTTTCCGCGCCGAACGCCAACCAAAGAAACCCAGGGAACCCTGACGAAACGCAGGGTATTTCTTGTCATGGTCCCCCGCTGTAAATGAACTTCACTGACGAATCGAGCACAACATGGTGTGCACACGAATAGAACTCCGCAAAAGAAACGCCGTCCCCCGCACGGAACTCGCGCGAGCACCCTTCCCCTTGGAAAAGAACTGGAGAGCGGCCTGGCGAAGAGAACCAAGCCCAGCGCGACCGCGGGTAGCGCAGGATATGGCGCTCCCCTCACAGGCCGCGCGCCGCCGGAGGCCTGGACCCCCCGGGGCGGTGCGGAAGGCCCCGCGCGGGCTCTGCCGCTGGGGAATCCTCCGGTGGAGCTCGCCCTCGCCACGACCGGGGAACGCAGCCACGTCCGTGCCGCTTCCGCCCTCCGCAAAGGGCCCTGCGCGAAAACAAAAAATCGGCAGCCCGGCTGGGCATGTTCCGCCCCCCCAACCCGCCCGACGCCACCCTGCCCCCGCCCCCCAAAGGCCCCCCCCGCCCCTCCCCCCTCCCCTCAAGGGCCCTGTCCGAGCCCGGCAGCAATTCGCGCGGCAGCGCAACGTGGTAGCCCGACAAAAGAACTTCAGCGCCTCCTCGCTCGCCTGGATCCTCCTGCATCCTCCGAACCAATCGTCCGCCTCCCCATTGGCTGGTGTGCTCCTCCTCCAGCTCCTCCGCTTCCCTCTGCAACCCTCAGGCTTCCATCCTCTCCCCCATCTCAACCTGGCTCGGATGCCAGATGTCCTGACAGCGCGATGAATCCCCCTGACAAGAAAGCTCC